TATTTGATTGTTTTAATAACGTGGAACACTGGCAAACTAGACTATATATCCCAGCACTTGTAACAGGAAAAAAAAAAAAAAAAAAGGACTGCTGGTTTTCCCATCTCGTTATTAACATATTGTGTTTGGTATGCTCAGTGAACAAATATCCTCTAGATTTCCCATGTGCATGTAAAATCCATCTTGTGGAAGTAGGTTTTAAAGATGTTGTGAAAAAAGTGTTAACACTTATGCAAATGTGACAAAATATGTTGTCACTATTAAAGTGTTAGCCAGACAAGTGATTATGTAAAAATGTCACCCACTCAACATACACATTCCTCACACCTTCAAGTATTATTTGCTAACAAACATGTTATTTGCCAACAAGCATTCAAAAGCTTGATTTTCATGCAACATTAGTTTGTCAGTGCTTAGAGTAATCTTCATACAAGAACAAATGTGACTTAAGTCTTTGAGAGGATAAATTAAAAACTTTTATATCATATAACCACTCCAAGGGCCTGGACATGCAACACATTTACACTAGTGTAATTTACATTCCTTCAGTTTACAAAACCAAATTATACAAGAATCTTGAGGGCACAGATAAGTAATTATTCTGGGGTAGTTGAATGCAGAGAACTTCTGAGCTATTACTGAACTTTACCATTAGGTGGCACTGGAACAGGTAAGGGCTACTTTGGGATAAACTGCAGGCACAATACCTATTGTTACTTACACCAATAAAAGTTTAGCCCAGATTTTTCTCAGATTCAAGTCAGTCACAGTGTTGTAGGGCCATACATTGTATGTCTGTTCTAGGTTTTTTGTCTTTTTTTAATGCTAGTGAGAAGGCTGATTACACCAGTGTGAACGTGTCACATGTCCAAGACCTTAAAGTGACAAAAAATAACAGTTCATTTACATAGTTAAATAGATGAATATGAATTACTGCTATATACAAAGTTTCAGCAAACAGAAGCTGCAGTGTACTTAAAGCATCTGTCATAATCCTAGTATTGAGTTAGGGGACGAGTAGTGCGACATGTAGATTAAATTTAGACATTTACATACCAATAAGCCTTGGTTCAGATGTGAAGTCTCGCAAAGGGACTGGAATTTTCTTTACTATATATTCACAAACTACCTCAATGTTGTATTTCAACTGTGCTGAGATTGGAATAATGGGAGCACCTTCTGCAACTGTGCCTATTACAAAAAATAAAAGTACTTTTACAAACATAGCTGTAGCATTTACCAAAAATATAGACAAACATTCAGACCATCTTGAAAACCATGAATGGAATTACAGGGACAATTTCTATATTTCCAAAGCCAGAAACTTAAAGTGATACAGAAATATCAGGTAGCTTTATTTTTTATTTTAGCTCAAAGCAAGCCACAGTGCTGGTGTTAGTAATATAATATGGCTTATATTGCTTAAAATCACTTATGCATTTGAAGTAGGAGGTTTATATAGTTCAGGGGTGGGCAAAATGCAGCCCGTGGGCCGGATGTGGCGTGCCACACCATTCTATCAAGCCCATGGGGCCCCTAAAAAATTTAGAAAATTAATATTTATCTGCCCCTGGCTGCCTGTCATGTGGCCCTCGACGGCTTGCCGAAACTCAGTAAGCGGCCCTCCGCCCGAAATAATTGCCTGCCCCGATATAGTTTGTTCTCCAAGACAACTGCGAACAGTTTTTTGCTCCAAAGAGAACTGGCTTCATTCTTGATGATCAGAAGTGACATGAAATTAATTCAAAGGATTATTCCAGTCATTTAATTCTAAGGAATGAAATAAGTTTTGCATGCTTTGGGAGATCTACAGAGGAACAGCATTACAGCAAAATAATAAAACATTTCCCTCATGAAGTGTAGATTTGAATCTGAATCCTCCAGTCTTACGATGTAACTTATGACTGGACCAAGTTGCCTTCAATGAAAAACTTTTCTGCTTGTTTGGACCGGAAATAGACCCTCAGTGAGACATCTCTCTCTTCCTGAGTGTTCTGAAAATGAGAACTAGTGCATCTTGACCCTCACTGTTTGTTCTAGCAGACCCAGACCAAGATGTCCTACAAAAGATCAGAGATCTAAAATATTTGATGCATCATTAGATATTCTGCAGTAAGGCTGCACTAAAGTTTGTACTTGAACTAGAAATAAAATTCCCCATTTCAGACTTAGCTGATTTAGTTTTCAAGACTGGTATAATTTTTTTCAGGACTTTAATACTTTCAGTCAAGTACTTCATTTGCAAAGCAAACATTTAAACAGGCTCTCTTTTGTAGTGACCGCCCATCTTATTCACATGTCAATTTCTCTAAAAACCTCAGTACTCAAAAAAATTCAAACTTTCAACCAGCTTGGACACAGATCACTTAATATGACTGCTCAGATCTAAGCCACATCCATTTGTGATGCTGCTAATTTGCCTCCATAGACTCAGTTTGCACATCTGTCTGTTGAACAAAACAGAAAGGAAGCTGGGAAAGTGATGCTAAAGGAAAGGAGGGAGTAACATTTAGTAGAGCTTACTTAAAAGAGGCAGAAGTAAAGGATGGTCTACAAGGATGTGGCAACTGGGGCCATGGGATGACAGCTCAATTTTATGCCTGACATTATGCCTCTTTCTTTGACTTCCCAAGTACATGAGCAACAGAATAGGAAACCCCTCAACTTGAGGGGGCAAGCAGGGATAGAGAAGCCAAAATACAAGATGGGATTTGTAAAATGAAAGAGCTTAAGATTTCATGAAGTCCATGACTAGACCAGAGTCGTACAACAAGCAGCCAAGCAGTGCAATTTCAGCTGTCCACTGTAACTCATTATTAAACCATTAAATTTGTTGCTGCTCTTAAGCTTCAAAAACAAAAGGATCTGAAAGGTAAAACCATGAGTCAACTTACTGTACTCTTCCCAAATGCAAATTGTGTCCATCCTGCCTGTTAAAGCATCAATCTTTGCATGCACCTGCCTGTGTGACTCAGTAACTGGCTTGTAGACGTGCTGAAGGCTTATGATCCTATAAAGCGGTGGCCCTCAAAATGGAAAGCATAACTTGCAAGAGGCCTTCAAAGGCTGAGTTGTATGCTCCTACATTAGACATCTCCCTTTTGAAGCTTTTTTTTTTGTGGAAGGCATTCAAACTCTATAGTGATGAACATAAGTAGTTTGTATGTGAAGTGCCTGAAGCAGAAGAGCAATGGTTGGCAATATGCAGTTAACTTAAGTCAAAAGTTCACGTTAGTTTAGGACCTGGACTTTTATTGGCTTATTTATGTTAGCTATGGAAGTTGCCTGCCCTGTTTCCCCCCCTAGAGATAATCTTTAAAGGTACTAAATTACAGTTGTTTGGAAGCAAATGATAATGCTATGAAATCCTGACTCATGCACAGAATTACTGAATGTGAATTCCTAGTTTTGGAAACCTACCTTGTACAAAAGAAAGAATCTGTTCATACTGCTCTTTAGCTTGGCTCTCCTTTACCAAATCAATCTTATTCTGTAGAATTAGAATGTGTTTCAATTTCATGATTTCTATAGCAGCTAGATGTTCAGAGGTCTGGGGCTGAGGGCACGACTCATTACCAGCTGAAAGGAAAAATTATGCACATAAATCTATGTTAAGGATACAAAAAGATACCTACTGAACTACTGTTTAAGAGAAAGCTGCCAGATAGCTCTCACTCATTTTTGTTTTTAAACTACTTGCATTTTAGCACATTTTTGTTACCAAAACTATAAAAAAACTAAGTTTCTCAAACTGCAATGACAGAACAAAAGACCCATGCAAGTATGTTATTCGGGAAGCCACATTCCTTCCCACATACCTGATGTGCTGTTGATAACAACAGAATTTACTGATTTTCCAGGAAACATGGCCCATCTATCCACTCAGTTTTTTTTCCTTCTGAGGTGACTGAGAGCTAGTAGTCTACAGCTCTTTCACACAATTAAAGCTGTAACAAGTTAGGCCTGTTATTTTTGTTTAGTTTCCATTAACTGGTGTTTATTCTGAACATCTAAAAAGGTTTTATTTACTTCCTATCAGTGGCACAACTGCTTTCAAGGCAGAATAGTGAAACTCTACCTAGATTAGTTTATTACCACAAGACTGGACAAGATCGAGTACTTTGATTTGGTCCACATCAACTTTGATTTACCATTTTTAAAGACATCTTTGTACCCTTGTATAACTAGCACAATATATTTACATTAAGAGGAACAGAAAATGAGCTGACAGTTGAGGGAAAAGAAAAATGTGCTTAATCTGCTTAAACACCTTCATGATAGAATCTAAACCTTATCTTGCTAGAACAGTGATAATTTCATCTCTGCCCAGGATCCTCTACCATCACATGCATGCACAAATATTACTGCTTCAGCTACTAAACTAGTCAGCATGCTTTAACAACATGGTAAAAATTAACTTATGGAAGCATGACATCTTTGTGAACATTACACTTCAAAAAATTTTTTTTTTAAAGTTTTAATGACATTCACTTTTTGTGTGTGTATAAAATCTGGTTCCTGTTTTTCTTTAGAATAATTGTGTTAAAATTAACCCACTGCAATATGATAAAACAGGGTCAACTTTCCATCTAAATATTACCTATCAACAGCAAAGCTGCATCCATGACTGCTGCACCGTTCAGCATAGTAGCCATCAAGATATCATGACCAGGACAATCCACAAAAGAGACATGTCTGTTGCATAATAAGAAGAGACAGAAAACCAGAAGCTGATTATCATCAACTATAAACCAGAACTAAATTCATCATTAATAGGCATAAGGATTTAAAACACATGCAAATAATCTATACACTTCTAGGGATGTAGAAAGGTGCCTTTTGGAACTATTAACATGAATACTACTGAAAATCATCCAAACACAATCTTTTGATTATATTGCATAGACTACAATAACTGGACTATTTCAGGTTCTTGTCTGTATTCAACAGAAAAATCTTTATTCTGTAACATGGCAAGAACACAGCTGTATGCTGCGTCACTGACTATATTAAAAATTCACCAATGGTAAAGAAGAAGTAAAAGAAACTGGTGTGTTTAGTGAACTGTTTTGAGTGTTGGTCTTATAACTATCAGAACCCACCAAAGAAGGGAAAAAAAAATCTATTTTAGAACAACAACTGCAGAGATATGAAATATTTTGCAGGCACTCAAAACTGTCCTACTAAAACACCACAGATAATCTTCTGCACCTTTTAGATACTGACTCCAACAATATTACACTATTACAATATTGATAGTATTACAATATTGTTATGCAAAAGCAGTTCCTTTACAGCATCTGATGAAGTAAACTGCTGCTTATGAAAGTGTGTTATACATCTCGGATTTAGTCTATAAGGTACAAATTTACCCTGCCTTCTACCTGACTTCAGACTAACATGGCAACTACTTTTCAATATTACACTTTGACAAGAATGACTGCCTCCTCATCTCCAATTGTTTTCCTAACAAACAGACTCACTCCCAAGTTAAGTTGTAAGTGTTCATAAGTCCAATTAAAAAGCCCCTATGAATTTGCAGTCTGTGGGGGAGAAGTTTAAGTGATGCTCTACTGTGAAAATAAACTTTAAAAATAAGTCTACGAATTTCCATGATAACTAATATCTAACTGACTTTCAGAATTCAGATTACGAGTATGAGAAACAACATTTTATTTAAAAGCCCTCCAAACAAGATGGAACTGTAAAGTTAATATTATGCTTTTTCAAGCAAGTACATTGTCACCAGTAGCAGATTTTGCAATTCAAAAGTATGCCCTCAGCCATATCTGTACATCTTCAATATCTTTAAAATACCTTTGGACTAAAGTGATAGGTTTATTAGAAAACTCTAAACAAAAGCCTCCTCAGTCATTACAACTTATTCAGCGATCCCTGTCAATTATGAGAAACTGAGATTTGACTCGTCTCTCAACTGCACTGGTTCCAAAGAGCCAGCAGGAATAAAAAGCATACGTATCGCTTAGTAAACAGACACGCCACAGACATACAAAGAATAAACAATGGTGCCAATTAATTAACCACTTTTATAGGACAGCATTCAATTTCAGGTTTTTAAATTGCTGTTTTATATCTCTCTTAGCAGCAGGCAAAAGTGATCCAAGTTTACGCCAGAGGCAGGCAGCTGCTTCTTCTGGCACTTTCCCCTGTAGTGGCAGAGGAAATGTGACCACTGCTGAAGCTCTTCGCTGCTGAACACCAAAGCCTCACATCCATGAGCTAAATCAAATGGCGCTGTAGGCCACAGGTTGCCAAACTCAGTGTAGAAAAAACTACAAACAAGTCAAGAACAACTGAAAGTATTCAATCTACATCAGCCACCTGACTAATTTAAAGTTCCCTTTGGTCCCAGGAATATCTGTAGGGAATTCATCTGGTGTGCTACTTCCACAAGACCGGTAACACTCTGGTCGGGAACAGCTGGGATCCTCAAGTTTGTAGATGTGGAATAACAGAGAGAGAGAGAGAGAGAGAGAGAGAGGGAGAGAGAGAGAGAGAGAGGCTTAGGTTAACAGTGGTCAGTCTCATATTTTTTCTCTCCCCCAAAAACAAAACCGGTTAATATGTCAAAACAAACAAACAAAGTGCAGTTTCTAGAGTTATTGCAATAACTAACCTTAGCATTGGCATAACCCAGCTTGATAGTGATATTTCTTTCCAGTTCATTTTTGAATCTGACAGTATGAACTCCAGATATAGCTTTGACTACAGTTGACTTTCCGTGAGCCACGTGGCCAATTGTACCTATATATTAAAAGCAAATATTTGTCAATACATAATTGCCTAATTTGTGCAATGTTCTGCTTCAAATTACTTACATAGGTAGACGGAGTACTTGTTAAACCTTCAATATCTAAATTAAGAACCAAATTTGTACAAGGTCACCCATAACCCCATGAAACCAGTTGGTTCAGAGATTTAACTGTAAGCATATTTAGATTTCTTAACCAGTTTTTTTTTTTTTATATCAACATAGGCAATGATCCTGAGATAAGCTCCATGTGGACACTCTGGCTACTTACTGTTCAATGATCATTACAGAACCAGGACTATATGGAGGGAAAACAAGTTTCAATTCTTTGAGAGAATAAGTCTCTCAGGCCTAAAACATATACTACAACAACTACCTTTGAGCAAACAAAGCCATGGTGGAACTGTTAACAACACACTACTTTACTTAAAGTACAATGCTTAGATTTTTCTTCAATTTTCTATATTTCACTGAAAAGTTTTATTTTAAAATGCTATGGATAAAATCCAAACTTTGCAGCACTGTGTTAGTTCAAGAGTGTCAAAAACTGTCACAACTATAATTAAATGTTCTTTTTTACCTATATTAATTGTAGCTTGTCTACTGATGACTTCTGGTGAGAGAGGTGTCAGCTTGGTAACATCCTGTATGGGGCAAAATTTCACAATCTATAAGTAGTGTACATGTTTAGGTAACTACAAGATAACAAAAAGTGTTCTGTTAAGGAAACCCATCAAAAGTGTTTAAAATAGTTCTAATTGCATTAGAGTTCTGGAAGAGGTCAGAAAGGAAATTTGTAAAGATGCCTCTATAATCAACATGTTATTCAGGCATATATAATTAGAGAAAACAAAACTAGTAAAACTAATGTAAATTCACAGATAGCTATTTATAAAGTGGGGAGTTTCCCAAATCTGTTTATTCCCATCTGTGTGGCAAAGGAAAGGCATGTAATGGAAAAAAAATCCTCTTAGATTAACAAAGCTTTTTTATTTTATGGAGTGGTATTTGAAACAGTCCAAAAAAATAGTATTTTGTTTTAAAAGTATACAAAGTTTACTCCTAACATTTTACTCATTACTTTTCATCTCCCTGCACTGTCTGTTCAAGAAGTCCAATCAGGGAAACACTTGCATGATTACATACAACACAGGCCCAGGGAATTTACAGTGCAAGAGACATAAACTGTGGCTGTCACTGTGCATCAGAGTGACGTGTACAAGTAGACCTTGTCATCACCAAGACTGTTCCGCCTGCATTAAGCATGCGTCAGAGGCTACAGTCCATCTACCACCTTAGAAATTTGAGAATACAACCAATATATAGAATCCAAATTTAGGAAAGGGCCTGAAGCTTTCAAAATGGTCTAATATGACCACCTATCTATGCCCATTTGTGTACAGGCTGGAAGCTATAAGGGGACAGGCTCAGGGGTTAGACCAGGGGAAGGCAAAACATGGCCTGCAGGCCAAATCCAGCCCACCAGGTGATTTCATCCGTCCCACAGCCAGGTGCCTACTGAATTACTGTACCCAGCCCAGCCCTGGACTGCCCCTGCTGTGCTCACAGGGGGCAAGCACCACTCACTCCTGCAGGGACAGTGCATGCTGTACTCTCACCCTCGCCCACTGGACAGTATTGACCCCAACCCCACAGGTAGGGAAACAGCAGCGCGTGGGGAAAGTGGTGGCGGTGGCAGGCAGCAGAGGGAGAGGGAGGGAGTGGCAATGGTGGCAGCTGCAGCAGGCACGTGGAGGCAGGAAGGGGAGTGAAGAGTGGAGGTGTGCTGACGAATGGGTGGAAAGATAGGGAAGTAGGCAGGAGAAGGGTGGCAGCAGCAGCAGTCACGGGCAGGGGAAATGGTGGCAGCAGAGAGGGGTGGTGGTGGTAGTGGGCAAGAGCAAAGCGGCAACTGGGTGGGAGCTACCCTCCCCCTCCACACACCCACAGCCCCTCCCAGACCCCATACACACCCACACCCCCCACACATCACCACAAACACCCCCTCAGCAAGCCCCCCCACACACA